GCGGCAACAACAATACTACAGCGAGAATAAAAGTTACGCCTTCTTTCTTTGCGTGAACATTTGGGAGGTGTTATGCAAATCTTCCCACATCGTGACGTAGATATTTGGGGGCGTGTTAGAACGAGCCGTTTTAGGTAGGTGTGGCTAACTCTTAACTTTTATAAAAGAATATCTCTTTGGATTTGAGACTTTAGTCTTTGCAACTTTACAGATCTTATCTATGCACGAACAGCTTGTAACACTCCAAAGAGAAAGGAAAATTTGAAATCGCATCATATGACCCCTTTAAAAGTGTATTCTTTAAAAAATGTACTTGCAGATAATGTAATAAATAAAAGGCCACTTAAGTGTACTTAAAGAGAGCAGGCTTTCCTGATGTTCCTTAACTACGCAAGTACATTTTTATTATTACATAGGAGAACAAGAGGAGGAGAAAGAAGAAAAAAGCAGCATCTCACACTGCAGGAATTCAGCTATTGCTGCAGGATCGGTGGCATAATTCAGTATCTACAAGAGAGAGAGAAAGATGAGAGTTTGTAAAACAGTGAGAGGGCTTTTTAAAACTTTATTTAAAATAGACAGAATAATAAAATCACTCCACCTTTTCAAACCTGATTTTCTCCCGGATCAGTAATGGAAACACTGCAGGAAGACATTCCGACTTCCTGTATTTATTCATTAGACTCACACTGATGTAAACATCATCTTTGGATGGCAGATGCACCCCTGGACAGGTTATCTAAAATTCAGATATGATTAAACTCCATATTCCCAGCTAACAGAATGACACACAACAGTCTGCACTGCATATGGCCGATATACTGAGTCTGTTCATTTGGTTCAGCATTAATTAGTTCCTGTTTAGTCACAGTTCAGTTGATCTCACTAAGCATAATAATGATCAATAATTCCTCACCGCCCTCAGGTGGAGTTCAACGACCACTTTAACTGCTTTGTGAGGCATGCTGTGTCTTATTTTCTCGAGATCATTCATAACATGGTCAATCCAGGAAAGCGTCGGGTTTCCATGGCATCGTGGAAGTCTAGATCATTTCAGCGATTCGGTTCATTCGAACGGTTCAAACACAACTCAGTGATTCTTTTACGCCACGACGTAATGCCGTCATCACGTGGTCCATGACATTCTGCCCTAAGTTAATTTGTATTTATTGTAATTATTGAAATTTCACGTGTTGTCATTTTCAGCTCATAAAATAAAGTCTTGTTAAGCCTAAATATAATTTTAATTCACCTTAAATATTACTAGAATTAATTTAAAATATCTTTGCATGAACATAGGTCGTTTTAAGATGTTATTTATTAACTACTCTTTATGATCGAATATTATGCATGACCGAATATTTGACTAAAAGAAATGTTATTCAAGAACAATTCATTCAGTCATATTCGTGAACCGGTTAAACAGATGAAAAGATTCTCAAAGTAACGAATCAGACTTTTATTTTGAAACAGCCAATAACCGGAAATTAGATTAGACAAAACATGGGAGTCGTAGTTCTGTACCTCATTTGTAGTTTACACTACTTTGTCACACTATCAACATTGCATTTAAAATAAAAACTAAACACATATTGTGTGTGTGTGTGTGTATATATATATATATATATATATACATGAATGATGTATTTGTGTATTTCACCAAAAAAAAATATATATATTCTCACAGTTGAGTCAAAGCTGTTAAATGAAATTGAGAATCCAGAAGGAAATTAGGAGGATTCTATGATTGTGGACACTATTGCTGCTGACATTAGTGCAATTATATGAATATTATTGCACAGCTGTTTCCATCTGAGCTTCCATATTAAATATAGCAGTTTATTTCACCAGATGTGAGATAAAATGACAACAGACAAAATTGGTGTGCATTTGGTTTATATGGTTATTGTCAGGGGTACCAGAAATACAACTGAATACCAAGATTAAAAAACAAAACAATACAAAACTGCAAATAAAACTTGCACTTTCGATTTACAACTTAAAATAAATCTACCATCTACATTCATTTAGGTACAATAATAAAAGAAAACCAAGGTAACAACAGCATATTAGACTTAGCTGATAACAGAATACACTTTAGTCCCATTTCTCGACTGACTGACCAGCGAGTGCTGGACTGCACATGCTAGTTAGAAACCATCTAGAAGAGCAAACGCTCATTTATGGTCAGAAACATTTGACATGAGCTTGACTAGGAAAGGTCTAAATATTATAAATGGACACACAGCTGCATATAAGCGGAAATCAATTCGAATTGTAACAGTATCAGTGACATGTCCACAGCATTAGAGCTTTGCAAGACCCGTGAAAAATAAAAAACTGCTTCTTAGTAAATTCTTAATAAACATCAGAATTGAATGTCAGGCCGAATGATAAAAACACAAAGGAGATATGTTAAATTGAAAGCAAAAGTGCATCTGATACTTCAGTTCCGAGAGCGCTAGGCTGCCAGCATGACGTCTATATATTGTTTTAAAAGGAAGAAAGAGAGGAGATGAGGGTCGTTTCCCTTTGGCTCTATTCTCCATACACACTCTCGTCACTGTAGGCGATGTAAAGGAAGAAATCTTCTTCGTGATGTTCCTGTGTGTGAGAAAGTGTAATTACAAGAGGAACAAAATGACTTTGATTAGTGCTGGACGGTACGACCAAAAATTTATATCACGGTATTTTTCTAAATTATACCGGTTTCACGGTACATGACGGTATTTTTCTAAATTATACCGGTTCTGTGTCATCATGTTCTATTAGTTCTACAGCTTCAGTTTCGGAACTTTCATGCTTAGTAACACATACAGCTGTTCCCTCACCGCAGTGCAACAGTGAAAAGGGACTTCTTTCAAACAGTGTCGCGTTCCGAACGTTGTTTAAGCGACATACACCGGTATTGCGGTATTTTAAAAATTCATATCATAACAAAAATAAACACCGGTATTCGGTATGAACCGGTATACCGCCCAGCACTAACTTTGATACTGACAAACCAATCAGAGTGAAAGAAAGAGCGAGAGATACCTGGTACAGCTGGCCCATGGTGGCGGAGGTCGGGGGAATGACGTTGTTTACGAAGAAGAAGAGAGCATCCTCGGCTCTCAGGTGGATTCGCTTGCGGATGAGAAAGTAAAACTGGCCCACTAAAAAAAATTACAGTTCTTTAATATGTTGTTTTACTACGCCAACATAAAAATGCTCCCTACAAAACAACAAAAACGTATCTTCTTTTGACAGCATTTGATCTTCTGATTGTAAATGAACATCATTAAAACATCTTTAGAAACGTAAAAAAGCACTTACCCGTCAGGTCAGAGGGGACCAGGTATTTCTTCTTGTCTAGGTCCCCTATTCTGGCTTTAGGAGCTTTTTCCACAATTACCTAGTACAGAATCAAACAAACACTTTTAAGTGTAGAAATTATAGTGTACAGGTAAAGCAAGAGTCCACCCAAAAATGAAAATCAGCTGACAATGTACTCACCCTCAGGCCATCCAAGATATAGATGAGTTTGTTTCTTCATCAGAAATGTAGCATTGCTTCACTTGCTCACCAGTGGATGCTCTGCAGTGAATGGGTGCCGTCAGAATGAGAGTCCAAACAGCTGATAAAAACATCACAATAATCCACACCACTCCAGTGCATCTAACATCTTGTGAAGAGAAAAACTGTGTTTATAAGAAACAAATCCACCAAGATGTTTTTAACTTCAAATCATAGCTTTTGGCTAAAATATGAGTCCTCTATCCATAATATTGTCTCCTCCGGTGAAAGCTTCTCTTGTCTGCATCGGGAGAGAAATCTGCACAGATCAACCACTGTTTACAAGTGAAAAACAAACAGTATGTGGGTGGATTTTGATGTGAGAGGACAACAGGAGATGGACTTTATCACTTGAGGAAGCGTTATTATGGATTTTGGCGAGGAGCGATGATTTAAAGTTAAAACGATGGATTTGTTTCTTACAAACATGCAGATTTTTGGTTTTTAACTTCAAATCATAGCTTTTGGCTAAAATATGAGTCCTCTATCCATAATATTGTCTCCTCCAGTGAAAGCTTCTCTTGTCTGCATCGGGAGAGAAATCTGCACAGATCAACCACTGTTTACAAGTGAAAAACAAACAGTATGTGGGTGGATTTTGATGTGAGAGGACAACAGGAGATGGACTTTATCACTTGAGGAAGCGTTATTATGGATTTTGGCGAGGAGCGATGATTTAAAGTTAAAACGATGGATTTGTTTCTTACAAACATGCATCTTTTCTCTTCACAAGATGTTAATTGATGGACTGGAGTGGTGTGGATTATTGTGATGTTTTTATCAGCTGTTTGGACTCTCATTCTGACGGCACCCATTCACTGCAGAGGATCCACTGGTGAGCAAGTGATGCAATGCTTAATCACTTCATCTATATCTTGGATTGCCTGAGGGCGAGTACATTTTCAGCAAATTTTCATTTTTGGGTGAACTATTCCCCTAATCTAGCCTTAGGTGAAACTGATATAAACTGCTGGTTTACTTTCAATTAATTTCACTCATTTCTTTCATATTTCGAGCCCACAAAGGGTGATTTTTTTGACTCAGAGCAAAGAGGATCTGAGAGCAGCTGTGCTATTTTTGATAATTAGGCTGCAGATGAGGAACAAGATAAAACACTTAAGACCCAAGACTATTTAAGACTATATTGCTTCTCGGAAATATATTCATGTTTTGTTTTTCCTCATATGTAAAACGTCCATTGCTACCAAAATTAACATAATGTCTCAGAGAAATGTGAATTCTTCAAATCTTATTTGTAAAAAAAAATGAGTGTTTCAAATAATTCAACTGAATGTCATAAATTGTATATGCCACAAAGCATCTTATAAATAACCTTCTTTTGGTAGTAACAGGTTCAAACAGGAGAAAGAAAGAAAAATACTGCAATATTTAATTGTTAGAGGATTGCTTGTTTTGTTGTTTTACTGGTTTGGATGTTTATATGGTAAGCAAAGCCAAACTTGTGGATGTGAACATGTTGACTGAAGGACATCGAGGCTATTTTAGGAACCACTACTTCAACATGGTCCTAAATGTATTATTTTACCTCACAAATACAATTTAAATACGACCATCCACACATCTGTACACTACAGGAGGTCAATCTGTCCATAAAGCCTTGAGGATTAAAGCAGACAAAACACAAACCACCTTAACGAGTATTTATCTGTTCGTGCAGATTTGATTTGAAAAGAGTGATTTCAAACGTGCATAACGCGAACAGACACTTTATTTAAATAATAATAAAGACGCTGAGATCAACAAGGCCTTCAGCAGTTTCGCCCTTCATACGCTGCTAAAGCTAAACATGTTTACGTTCGTGTAACTTATGCTTACAAAGAGCGAATGAACACATGATTAATTTTTTTTTATGACGGACGAATCGTTTAAATCACGTAGAAACATCACGCCTTTCACGTTTTACTTGTTTGTTTTGCTTCTCATAACGCTAACGCTAGCTTCTGTTTACACACATCAAACCGACTTACAGGAACCCTGTCTGGATATTTCTTCCTGATTTTCTCTCCCTCCGATCGCCTCTTCTCAAAAGGATGCTCTTCTTTGTATTGAAACTTCATGGTTGTTAAAGGAAGAGTAAGTTAGTCTTTTAAACACACTCACTCACACACACAGATGTGTCAGAGGTGTTACCGAGCGCTTCACACGCAGCTGCTGAGCTTCCCCGTCTGCGCATTAATACGGACGCACTACATTTACATTATTTTTGTCAACACAAAACCACATTTTCCAGAGAATCACACATGCAGAAAAATTATTTGAAACATTTGATACAAAGCCTATTAAAGGTGATCGATGGTTACTAAAGACGTTTCTGATATCTCGTTATGTGAGGAAGGAACTACTTTTTCGCGTATACAGATATACAAGCGGTGCTCCGGTCAGTCATATGACCGTCTCCCTTCACTTCCGGTATCCAAAGTGACGCAGAGCTGTTTTTATTATTAGGAGCAAATCAGGGTTATTATAGTTCACTAAAACTTGATATTAAATAAATGTTAACTGAAATAAAATATTAAAAATACATTTCTCATTTGGTTTAACTTGTACTAAAATAACAAAAACTGAAATTGATAGATAAATAAACATAAGAAAACTAATTAAAATGACGAAAACACAAAATTAAAATAAAAACGAAATGATATAAAACGAATTTCATTCATACTAAAATAACACTGGAGAAAATGTGATAATTTAGGTTATGTGCACTCTTTTTGTGTTAAAACTTTTATATTTTGGTATACTCTTGTGTACTTTGTTCTAATAAAACATTACTTATCTCTCATAACGTGATATATATATATATAGTGTTGTCCAGTATATGTAAACTCCTGTAAAACAAGATGAACAAAACGTGTTTAAGATAGGATTTCTAAATATATTTTTCTTACCCCACCAATTATTGGTTATTTTTGTTTTGAGCTCAATTCAAACTAAACTTAATCAAGTTTATATATATATAATGTTGTTGTTTTTTTACGTAAAAACCTTTTTTTTTTTTATGCATCTGGAGGGTAGAAAATATTTGTTGCTTAGAGAAAATTTTGCATTAGAAATGGTTTTCTGCAACTGTTCCCTTAAACTATTAATGAGAGCGTAAATGAAAACTGAACCCATAGTATAGGATAGTAACACGTTTTTATTAGTAACGTGCACAGGTCTACGGACTTGTGTCCCAGGAAGCTGCCTTGAGACTTCACAAGTGTTAGACCGATGAGAATAGAACTGACATTATCTGACAGGTGCACAGAGAAACCAACATGGCCTTGAGTACAAAAAAAAGGTGTCTGTTGCTCAGTCATCTCTTCAACACAATGAAGTTCTATAAATTCAAGTCTTGCCATTATTACATTTTCAGGAAAAAACAAACAAAAACACATTTGTAAAAAGGCATCCAAGTGGTAGGATTTCACAACCAACCACATACATTCTCTGTAGAGAACAATTAGCGCAGAAAGGCTTAAAATCTGTCGTTCAGCTTCTTCAAAGCTCGTATTCTATTACATCCTCCCTGATAATCATGACCAATTCATTTACTGCCAAAAAACTTAAGAATCTGCTGCAGAATTTATCTCCATGATCCGAATTTGAACAGGCCTACCATACAGAAGTCATTAAAACCCCATGTCTTCAGAGACAGTACCTCAATTATAGCATATATAACTCTACCATGATAACCCTGAAATCTACCAGTCTGTCATAATCCGTGTCATTAGCAGTTTTCCAGTGAACTCTATTGGATGTGCAGAGTGCTGCTGGCCAGTTCTGAGCAGATCTCCATTCGCACCACCTTTAGAAGTGAGGTATGACGTCCCAAGCTGGGATTGAAGACGCAAGTCACGAAAAGGTCTGTTTTTTTTCTTGCCTCAAATATCTTCACATATTTAAAAAGAAAAACAGCAGATGTCCTCATACACGCATACCACAAACATAACTCACTCACACAATCAGCATAGGTAGAGCTGTAAGGCAGAGGCTCCATTTTGAAGAAGGGACAAAAAAAAAAACCGTAGGGATAAAAAAAAAAAAAAAGCTTCCCGAAACATCCTAAAGTTTGCCTTTTCCATCCCCTTTGAGTTCGGGACAGACTCTCCTCCCGATGGCCCTCACGTAAGGCCGTTTCCGGGAGGCGACGAGTCGAGGGAGAACGAACAGTCAGAAGGAAGCAGTTGGAAAAAAACAAAAAGCAAAAAGAAGAGCGGACTTGAAGAAAGCCCTTGGTCGGATGATCACCAGAGTCGATGCTGGTGGAGATTTCTGCTCAGGACGGATCGTACATCTGCCGTGAATCTGAAAAGGGAACACACAGTGAAGTGGAGTTCAAGTAAAAATAATTTTTGCATGTTTTGAATGCTCTAGATCTTTACCGTAGTGCATCCAGCATGGGCAGCAGGTTAAGAAGTGCTGTGTCACTGGGGTCACTAAACCATGACTTTATAGGTATTGCATTATCTATGGGCAAAAAAAAACAGGGAAAAAAAAGTGTTACAAATAATCACGTATTTATGGAAGCCACTTTCTTCCACAGAATAAAACAAAATTTAAAAAATGCTAATTATTCTCACACAATTCGGACTTTTTTTCTTGCAATTGCAAGTTTAAAGCCCCGTTATTACGATATTAGCGTCCACACCAGCGAACGATATCGTCTGTTTATTCTAAGCGCACATGCGTCTGCCGCTTTAAATTCTTGAGCTCGTTACAGCAGGATGGATTCTGATTGGCTGTCAGTGTTTTATCGTTCATCAGCTGGAAAAAAAATCATTTTGAAAGTGATCCCAACGATATCGTTCCTCTGTATCGTTATCGTTGTGGTGTGAACTATGCTATTCTTTAATATTGAGAACGATTTTTAGAACTATCTTTATCGTTATCGTGCTTTGTGTGAACGGGCCTTAAGTCTCGCAATTGTGACTTTTTCCCTCAGAATTGCATGATATAAACTCGCAATTCAGACTTTTTAATAATAAAAATAATAAAAGTCTCAAATAAAAATAAAGCAAAACAGTAATAAAATAATTCTCAAAATGGATTTAAAATGCAACGGTGCGGGTTTTATGAAGGTAAATTGAAGACTTTTTCGAGACCTTTTTTTAAAAGCAATTAAAGACAACGTAAGGAATAAATCAAGAACAAAATACGTCAATACATTCTCTAGCTTCTTGAAAATACTTTGATTAATTTCAATTGTGAGAAATAAAATCAGAATTGTGAGATATAAACTCGCACTTCTGACTTTTTCTCACAATTGCAATTATATCGCTTAATTCTGATGTTTTTTTCTATTAGTTTATATCTTGCAATTTTGACTTTTTCTTGAAATTCTCTTTTTCTTGAAATTTTGTTATGAAGACAAAAAAAATGTACATTCTGACTTTATAACTCAATTGCAACTTTATATGCAATTCTAATAATCTTTTATATTTTTTTATTCAGTGGCGGAAACAGACTTCCATACATATTCAAAACAAACACATTCTAGGGGAGAAAAAACGTTTCTCCGTTAACTACATAAATCTTACAGTTGACTATTATAAATCTAAATCCATAAATTTGTGACTAATAGTGACAAATAATCATCACAAAAATAATGTGTATTATCCAAGACAGAGCTAATCATGTATTGATCAGTTCTTCTAAACTGCTAAACACTTTTTCTCTGTGGTCATTTACTTAAAGGGTCATGAAATACTAAACTAAGTTTTCTTGTGTTGCACATTGTAGAAGACAATAGCTACGTTTACATTTAATGATGGCTTAATCGGATTGAAAAGCCTTCATGTTAATACCTCAATCAAACTGCTGACTGAATTAAAATGGTGTAGACCTGGAATAATCAACAGAAACGATCAACTATATTCTCAGTTAGATTAAAAAGAAATAACAACCTTGCGCAGTAACGTGATCCGTATGTTTACATAGGTTTTGCATCATACGAACATATGTGTGTTTACTTATGCCTCATGTCTAAGTAAATATTCAGTCTCATCCACTGGAAAGTTCATAAATATTTGCTCAAAAAGCTCTTTTGACATACATGTCAGCCTTTTTTTCCTTTTCTTTTTTTAGCCATGCCGAGGCATTATGTTCACAGTAGTTCTGGTGACATTATGACGATCTCCTAAAAAAACAGCTTTGAAGATACCAAGAGCTCCTAAAAACCACAACAAATTCTTGGCGAATAAAGCCAATTCTGATTCTGATCACAGTGTCTTTCTCCAGTTCTGAACGCGGCGACTGGGCGCTACACAAGCGCTGCGATTTTGTTTTGAATATGAAAACAAATGTGAATCAGATTGCAAGGCTGCATATAAACAGAACTTTCAGAATCTGAAATCAGATTAGATTCATTCTGACTGATGAAAACTAGTGCATGTGTAAACATACCTAGTATTAACATCCCTTAATTTTAAATTGTAGGGGAAAGCTGGTTGATTTTTAGCTTGTTCGTGCTATTTTATTGCATCTTTGGTTTAAAATCTTCTCTTCGACAGACCTTGAGTCTCTGACACATGCGATCCATCCATACTGTGAGTGTAACTGCTCTAAACACCACAAAATAACAGTCTCAAAATGTATTCAACAGTGCGTTCATATATTAAAGGTTACTGCAGGTTTTATGAAGGTAAATTTAAGACTTTTTCTAGACCTTTTTAAAACCCAATTAAAGAAAATTTAAGGAATAAATAGAGGAAATATGTCAATCCATTCTCTAAATATAAAGGTTTAGGAAGCACAGCGAGTTGTATTAGCATATAAAAAAAGCGCAAATATGATGGAAATAACTTAAACCTTCTGATGACACTGCAAAGACGTGATGATCTTCCTCAGTATTTTTGTCTTGGTTTTTTTAGTCTAAAGATTCTTAAAGGATGCAAAATGACACAAGTCCTGTTTTCTGAGCAATTGATCGAAATTAAGATTAAAACCAGAACAAATATTTGTGAATGGGCTCAGAAAACCTCAATTCAAAGGCAAAACAGGTTTTCATTCTTGTTTAATGCATAAACTCACTTAAATTGTGTTAAATTTCTCAAAAAACAAATCTTCATTTTTCCATCTCAAGCAAATGTATCTTGGTTTAGATATTTCAAGATATCTGCTTAATGCAGTGCAAGCAACATTTAATGCCATAACTTTATGAATTTAAGATTTTCTGCCCTGACGGACAGTCAGGACTGC